TGTGTGTGTGTGTGTGTGTGTGTGTGTGTGTGTGAGAGAGAGAGAGAGAGAGGACCGTATTTCCTAATATTATATCCCCGCGGCAGGATCTTTGTCACGTTGTTTGGCGGAGGAGGAGCGGGATGAGGAGCGGGGGGAGCGGGAGAAGGAGCAGGAGGAGGGGTGGGAAAAGGAGCGGGAAAAGGAATGGGAGGAGGAGTGGGAGGAGGAGTGGGACGAGGAGCGGGAGAAGGAGCAGGAGGGGAAACGGGAAGGGGCAGGAGGAGGAGCGGGAAGAGGAGCGGCAGGGGAAACGGGGAGGGGGTTAGGAGCGGGAGAAGGAGCACGAGGGGAAACGAGAAGGGGCGGAGGAGGCACGGGAGGAGGAGTTGGAAACGGGGAGGGGGTTAACGAACGCGCTGGAGGCGGAGGAGCGGGAGGAGATATAGGTGAAGAAGGAGAAGCGGGAGGAGCGCGAGGAGGAGCGGAGAAGGAGCGAGAGGAGGAACGGGGGAAAGAGCAGGAGAAGCAGCGGGAGAAGGATGAGCAGCAGGAGGGGGAGCGGGAGAAGGAGAGGGAGGAGGAGCAGGAAAAGGAGCGGGAACGAGGCATCGGGAGGAGCGGGAGGAGCAGCAAGAGGGAGAGCGGGAGAAGGAGACGAAGGAGGAGAGGGAGGAGGAGAGGGAGGAGGAGAGGGAGGAGGAGAGGGAGGAGGAGCGGGAGAAGGAGCTGGAGCAGGGCAATGGCGGGATCTTTGTCACGTTGTTTGGCGAAGAAGGAGCGGGAGGAGGAGGAGGAGTGGAAGGAGCGGGAGAAGGAGCGGGAGGAGGAGTGGGAGAAGGAGCGCGAGGAGTGGGAGGGGAAACGGGAAGGGGCGGAGGAGGCGCGGGAGGAGGAGCGGGAGGAGGAGTGGGAGGAGGAGCGGCAGGGGAGACGGGGAGGGGGTTAGGAGCGGGAAAAGCGCGAGGGGAAACGGGAACGGGCGGAGAAAGCACCGGAGGACGAGCGGGAGAAGGAGCGGAAGGGTTGAAAGGGGGGCGGGGGCGGGGGTGGACATTGATTGATTGACTGATTGATTGACTGATTGATTGATTTTATCCAAAAAAAAAAAAAAAAGATCGCCCCATTCTCCTTTTCGGTTTTGTTTTTTCAATCAATCAAATCGACCATGTGTTCTAGCGGTAGATTCATTCGATTTTGCTTCTCATATCGATGGAAGTACCATGAGACCATTATATTTCCATATTCTGGCGGAAGATTCATTGATTCATTCCTATTTTGCTCATCCTACACACACACACTCGAACCGACATTGCCACGCTTCAGGAAATGAGCAAAATGGGGTTGAATCTTCCCCTAAAACATGGAAGTATCCACTGCCACAACATAGAAATCTACACTGCCAAAGATCGAAAGTGTGGCAGTGCATATTTCCATGTTCTAGCTACAAATTCATTCCCATTTTGGTTATCCTGTGGATGGAAAACTCTCTCTCTCTCTCTCGCGCGCGCGCGCGAGGTGGGTCGACATTTGCATCTGACAGCTCCTTCGTCCATACTCACACCGGTATTTATTTTGCTGATGTTCTTGCGGAAGATTCGTTCTCATTTTGCACATTGGCAGACTGCTCAGTTGATGCACACATGAAACTATTGAATTGGTCGTGCCTGGGCGTGCGAGTGTGTGTGTGTGTGTGCGTGTGTGTGTGTGTGTGTGTGTGTGTGTGTGTGTGTGTGTGTGTGTGTGTGTTTGTGTGTGTGTCACACACACGCACACACACAAAGACACACATATATATATAGAGAGAGAGAGAGACAGTTTTCCAGCCATGCACGCA